TACCTATATAAGTTACTTAAATCATCATTGGGGCTTTACACAGCGTGTTGATGCAGACAAATAAATAAATAAATTAAGGTGTGTGTTTTTTTTTATACAGGGGGGAATCTGCTCCCAGACTCCTGAGAAGATAACTCAGGGTGTGGGGATGGGAGAAATAGCTCTCCCGACCCACTAAACCTTACCCTGTGCTCTAGGCCCTTGCCCTCCCCGGAACCGCCTGAAAGCATTACGTCATGGGAGGGGGCCGGTTGCGCTATGGCGCATCACTTGGTGTTGTGTCCGACGTGACACTCGCTACTGCACAGTGAGCAGCTGTGCAGGGCGTTTCTCTTGTTGTTCGCTGTTCGTTGTTCGCCCGAGTTCTAGAGCAGACGTGATAGCCAGCCAACTGTCCAACAGGGCAGCTTAGGACAAATGTGACCGCTTACCAGCTGCGTGTGCTAAGCACTCTAAGAACCCGGCGTCACTCCTGCCTTTGCACAACGAGGGTTTGTGCAGGGCTTCTCAACCTCCTGAGACGAGCTGGATGGGGTTCCAGCGTCCCTACTCTGCGGAAGTTCGTTTAGCCGCAATATCTCTCCCTTGGGTTCGATAATTAGCGTTTCCAGGGCACATCACGAGGAGGCGAACTACTTCATGCCCCTAATTAAGGTGTGAAGGACATTGATTGACATAGCATGCAGCCCCACCTAGGCTCAACTTATAAAGTCTAATACCCGGTTGGGATTTCTTTGCCAAATTTCAAAGGGTACTAAATTGGCATTCTTTGATTGAACAGAGCAGAGAGTTATTTCAGTAGTTTCGTTTTCAAAATGACAAAAAAGACAGTCGCTAAACTGAATTTTCCCAATTTTATTAAAGTGATCCCATGTAACAATTTAGGTTTTATGAGGGTTCTGTAGACCATGATTAAGACTTGTAGAATGCTATAAAACCGCGATAAAACTTGCAATGTTGTTTGGGATATCTGCCAGCCATTAGACCAGTTATTACCCGAAGATCTGTTTTGCTAAGATTAAGTAAAGCTGTGTCCATTTAGAATCCAGAATAATAAAATCATCTGTATCTCGGTAACGGATTGGCGTACAAATAAGGATAATACATCAAAACAAAGGTAGGAAAAAATATCAAAACAAATCATTTCTCTTCGTTTCTAATGAAAATTTGCACTTTCTTCTTTATTCCTCCCATCAAACGCTGCACATCTCCGGAGTCAACTTCCTTGGCACATTTGTTCCACATTTTGGTCATCTGAATCGCGTCTCGAGCCGTTTTTCCACTTTTCTTAAGCTTCCGCTTCATTATTGCCTAAAATCTCTCGATGGGCCGGAACTGCGGGCAGTTGGGTAGATTTATGTTTCTATCGATGAAATCTATGTTATTATCGCGGTACCACTGGATGACTTCCCAACTGTAGTGGTAACTCGCCAAATCTGGCCAAAACTTCACGGGACCTTTATGGGCTATAATGAAAGGTAGTACGTGGTTTTTGAGGCATTCTTCCTTGTACAGCTTCGAGTCCATCGTCTTATTCGTCACGAACACTTGTAGTGTAGTGGTAAGCGTGATTACCTCTCACCCCAGAAGGCCTGGGTTCAATCCTGCATTACCATCTAATCTTCCGCTGTATTAACAGCTGAACTTAAGTGGAAAGCTTTAAGGATACTCAAATGCCCTACCCAGATTGCCATCTAAAAGTTTATTTTGACGTTTGAACTGTAGAGCACTTTTTGCTGCCTTTGGCGACCACACTGCAGAATTTGTTCTTGCGGTAAAACATAAAACATTATGTATTTCTATTTCACATCTCGGTTGGGTGTTGTCAGGCTTTGGCAACAATTAGGGTAATTTGAAACAATTCACACTGTATTCAACAAGAAAGGAAGATCCAGATAGAAAACACGACATTGAATTCGTAGTTTGTCTTTGCTGTCAAGAAAATTTGTTTCATTTGAAATGAAACCAAACAACCCAAGTAACTGTAATTCATAGTCCGGACTCCGGAGCCTTCAATAGATTTCATTTCAGCACTGCTAGTACTTACAAACCTTTATCCAGTATTGTTAATGTTAACACAATTGCACTACTACTAACATGCCTTTAATCAGCAGTACCGCAAGGACCTGTTCATATATTGATAGGAAAACTTTGAGGTCAGTATTTGTGTGTAGTAGTGACTTTTGTTAGAACATGGTGTGCCCACGGTGTCTCTGGATGAAACAATTGCTTTAAAAAATTCAGAATCGCTGAAACACTATCTAAACGAAAGCTTATGCTTCATATGAGACTAGTATGGAAATGTTCTATCTAGAACTTTTATTATTTTTTTATTACATTCAATCGAACAGTTTTGTTACGTGAACTTTACGATTTTCAGAGTTGGGAGGAAATGCTATACTAATATCAACATAAAGCTTTAGTGCGATGATTTATTAGCTAGTTTTGTCTGTGGATTTGGGGACATTAATAAAACCCCCTCATCCACCAAATTATGAGCTAGATAACAAAAAGAGCGCATTTGATTGGTATTGTCGCATTAATGGCCCTTCCCTCAATTTCATCTTCTGTTCAATTTTCACAGTGCTGTTCTCTAGCAGAACTATCAATCGATCTTCTTCACAACTTTCTCTCTAACGGCGCCGGTGGTGTAGTGGTAAGCGTGATAACCTCTCACCCCAACAGGCCTGGGTTCAATCCCAGTCGGCGCCGCCGGGATGTTCTGAGGCATAACATCTCTGATCACGCCTTCCTTCGGATGGGAAGTAAAGCCGTTGGTCCCCGGTTCATGAGTTGATGGGTCGATAGGTAGGGTCCAGGTGTGGAAGCTGGCTTCCTGGCACGTCGGTAGCATTGGTGCTCAGCACGGAAAACAAGATCGACGGAAAAAACAAACCAAAGGAACAACTTTCTCTATCTTAAAAAATATCGCAGTCAAACTTCATGTTGATATTAGTATAGCATTTTCTCCCAATTCTGTTTTTTTTTTTAGTATTTTGCAGTGTAAATCTCATTCTAAATTGAACTATCTCGACCATTGAAGCCCAAAACATGAAAGGAAAAATGACTCCCGATAGAACATTTTGAAACTAGTCACAAACGAAAGAGGGCACCTTAGCGGCGTCGGTGGTGTAGTGGTAAGCGTGATTTTCTCTCACACCAGCAGGCCTGGGTTCAATCCCAGTCGGCGCCGCCAGGATATTCTGAGGCATAACATAACATCTCTGATCAGTAAAGCCGAGGGTCCCCGGTTCATGAGTTGAGAGGTCCAGGTGTGGTGCTCAGCACGGAAAACAAGATCAACGGAAAACAAATCAAGAAAAAAAGAAAGCAAGAGGGGTACCTAAGATTTCGTTTATGGGTGTTTCAGCGATTCTGATTTTGTGTATAATAATGTTATCCTACCAGAGACACCGTAAACAGTTTGAGCAGTCGATCGTTTTGGTCGCATTCCAGAGCTCCAGAGATGAATTAGTTTTCCTTCATACGTTTTGTTCTACAGTTGTTGCTGCATTCTCTTTTGTTACCCGGTATAACCTCAACTGCACGTGATCTATTGTTCACTTGGTCTGATGAGCCAGGCTGTCTGGCATTTGTTCGAATGGGTATGGTGCGTTTAAAAAAACCAATGCTGTGATTGCGATAAACCGTGGATAGTTTACATAGTGCATATCCCGTTAATAACTCTATAAAGGCCCTTTCTGCAATATAAGGCTAATATATGGGTTTAAATGTTTAAATAATGCATTAGCGGGCTTGATGGTTACTTGAGTAGTGACTTTTACTGACGTTCATTTGTTCCAGTGTCGATCATCCTCCAAGTTCTCAACCAGAATGAGTATTTTAGAAGAAAAACGTCTCTAATGACCACCAACAAACCTTCTGTTTTTCATTTTTTATTGGAAACATACAACATCCGGCTGAGAAATTTGTACATATTTTGTTGCGGATGAAAAAGTATTCAACCCTACTATGTTTTGTTTATGGACCCAAATAATCATTGATTATGTTGTATTAAAGTTCCCTGGTTAATTTACTTACATTTATTAAGAAGTAAAATAAGCGTTACTGTCATCCCTCTGAAGTAATACAGCGTATCCTTTCCGCGTGACCATGCAGTGCATTATTAGATGATGAATCATAGATGCGTCCACCTTCAAAGCATAACCTCCCACAAATGGACACCAAGCAGGCAGCAAAAGCCTCACCATTGACAATCCGTCTTCAGTGTGACAGGATTGCATAAATTGGCGGCAGTGGAAAAGTAAATTAAAACATCCATCGCTGCAGGTGAGCACCGCAGAGCGCGAGAGGGAAGCATTACCTGCTACTTCTTGCAGTGATTATTACCTCAATGTAGTGTGGGTATCACCATCATTTGCGATGACGACGACGACGACGGTGTATCGGTCGATGGAGCTGGCTAAGGTTGGTACCTAGCGACCGAGCAGCTCAGCAAGATTGTGAAATAGAGCGAAACTGGTAGAGCAAATATTGCGAAGAAAATCGAAATGCAATGAACTTTCAAGGACGCTGCTGTAAGTTGGCTCTGTTGTTGCACCCTACGCCCCTTTAAGTTGCACACACAGTCGGTGGTCAACCGGTTGGGTTGTAATTCAGAGTGTTATTGCCATAAGAAGGGGTCGCCGCTTCAAGTGACCGAGACGTGGAGATTAACATTTATAGCTGTTTTTGTTATTTTCGACTAGTGCAAGCGGTCAGATTGTTTTTCCTCGTTTCTCGGTGAATGTTTGGCTTCGTAAGTTTTATTTATTCGTTGTAGTTTGAGATTGAAGCCCCACTACATCATGTAGCGGGTGCGCTGTAATTGCTTGTTAATGCCATGTACCTACCTACTGAAAATACCCAGGGTAACTTTGATCGTTTCACTTTTCTTTTGAATGGCGAATATCAGGGTATTATGCTTTTTGTAGCTTGTACAGATTTTATAAACATCAATAATAATTTTATAATTGTTACCCCTTTCTTCTCCATTACAGAGGCAGCGAGACGAGTGTAGCGACGATTGACGATGGAGGGACAATGTGGGCCAGGCAACAGAATGCCGTATCTGTGCGGCATGCGTTCAAACAGTACGGCTCCAAGAAAAAACCAAATCAAGTTCTATCGAATCTTAACATGACAGTAGCCAAAGGAACCATGTAAGTACTATCGGAAAAACATAATGAAGTTGATGAACTAGGCGTGCGCACATGGCCTTACCTTTCCAAGATTGGAGCTCAGGGTTTTCCCATTCCCAAGGGTTACGTGATTCCGAAGGTGATGAGGGTTCCCCGATAATGTATATATTTATCTCATAACAAGTGATGTTTGATTGCTCTTTTTGTGCAGCATTTTAATCGACTGCTCTAAGGTGATCATGTCAGTGTGCGAAACATTTGTAGGCACATTGCTGGATGTGTTGGTACAGGGAATTCCGCAAATTGGTCGCACCGACCAGTCGAAGCACTCACGTATGTTGCAGGTCGTAGAATCACTTACAGGGGCAGCGATGCAACATCAATCCTATCAGTTACATGTTTACTGTCCAATAATTGAAATGAACCGTCTGATTTGATTTACGATAGGAGTATATACAATAAATTCAGTGTTTATCAGTTGTAGGAAACAGATGCATAAATTGGAAAAAAAAATACACCCAACTCATCCCATGGAATTTTATGAAATTTTTTAGCAAATTTATTGAAGTAAATATATTCCTGTTAATTCATTAAATTTATACAATTATCTTATGAAGATATTGTACGACAAAATTGACTCTGTTTTAACAGTTGCATATTCGTGACAAGCTGTTCTAAGAACATTCCTTACGGTTCTCGTAGGAAATGCCAACAGAGGATGTACGAAAATCATGCTAGTATTTATTGTATATGGGTCATTCCAGCTCAAGTGCATACAGAGTTATGGTCAATGTAACCGATTTCAACCAAACTTTGCCCAGATGCTTATTTCGACATTCTAAGAAAAAACCTTTTTTGGATTTTGCTCAAAAGTGCTTGGAACCCTCTGGGCTACAACCCTATAACTATTTTTTATGCCGCTCGGTTTTTATTGTTTTCCAAGATATTGACCTGAAATGTTTTCCAGTTATTATAATAACCATCTAAAAAATTTGTTCAGAAAATTAAAGGATTTGGATGGATGGTTTATGAGATATAATCAAATGAGTGTGTACAGGAATAAAAGGCACGTCAACGCAAACCAATATAATCATCGGACAGAGGAAGTATTCCTCTACCCGTTGGTGATGTTGATTTGCGTGGGCGAGCCTGGACATTCTAGAAATCACCGAGAAAAGTCATTGTTTACAAAAGCTGTTACGTTCTAATTCCAGCTCTATCTAGTAATAAGACGTGACGCTGAGAAAATGATAATAAAAGCGCAAACACTGCTTGGATTGACGTTAATTCTCCTATCATTCAGAAATGATTATACTTGTCTTGCCTGAAAGTGGACTTGTGCATTTATATTGGAATTTAAATTAACAAGAAGGGTCAGATTTCTCCACAGGTAGATGAATTCAGGCTTTAATCAGGGTAAACAATGATACCAAGAGCAAAGTTACCCCTCACCATCCCTCTCCAACTGGGGAGTTTGGTAAAGAGAGATGAACAACCCGATTCGTACCTTCCTCAAAGAAGTCCTTGCTCGCTTTTTACTCTCTGTATACAATTTTCACAGTCCCGTACTCTGACGGACCTATCAGCTCTATACTTTCATCTCTTCATCTATCGTATAAAATGTATAAAGTCTGTTATTTGAAACTTGGCATCTTCAACTATTTAAAATCGTTAATTTCACGCAGAAGTAATACAAACATAAATAGTTAAAATAAAGTATCGTGCCAATCGTATAAATGAATCGTTCACATCGAAATCAAAGTTATTCACTCTGCTCGGAACAATGGATTATCGGCTCCGTAAAGCTAACGTGGTTGAATATTCCAAATAAACGAACTAGATAAAAAAAACTCTGCCCAATAGGTCAAACATGGGCGATTAGGCCGAAGTTAATATTTTCTCTAGTGATCTTGAATTCTCATGGGACTATATGGGACTGACTCTGATGGCACCTGCAACATTTACGGGTCTGGACAATGCTATTTTGGACACATAAAAAAGGCTGACAATTCCTTGAATTCCTATCTGGTGTTATGTAATTCTTCTCCGTTGGTACCTGGAACATTCAGGGAATCATAAAAATGTGACGATAATAAACAAACTAGCAATAAAAATCATGACAAATATACAACTGAGATCATCGATTAGTATGTTTGTTACACATCATGAACAGCAACAACATCGATAATCCACCGAATTCACTGATATGAAAACAACCACTGTGTGGATATTTCGAAATCCTGGCCATCTAGGAAGTTGCTGTCTGTGGTAAAGTACAGAATTCTACCACCATACACAGTGCTAGTGTGCAGTGCATACTATATCTCGAGATCCTGACCAGCTGGGAAGTTGCTGTCTTCGAAACCTTTCGATTGGTTAGTAGATTATTTAAAACTCTGCCATTAAGCGGCGCTAGCGTGTATGTGAAATTTCAAGGTGTGCTATATCTCGAGATCCTAGCAGTCTGTGACAATGTAATTTTGGGCAAAGATTTCCAGATATCCAAATCCTGCATCCAGAATTCTGTATTGTACATGCAAAATTTCAAAGTGGATTATATCTCAAGATCTTGACTATCTGAGTGTTCCTGTGTTCGGGAAAATTGTTCGTGTAGCCAAAATCAAATAAGAATCCAACCCCTATGTGGTGCAAGTATACACGTGAAATTATTAACGTTTACTAAATTTCGTGATCCTGACAATCTATGAAACTGCTGTCTTTGGAAAAGTTGTTCAGATATACAATACCTTGTGTGTTATAACTCGAGGTGCTGCCTATCTGGGAAATTGCTGTTTTCGGAAAAGTTGTTTAGCTTACCAAGGTCTGCTACATGGCAGCCCCAGCTAGTATATAGACTTCCATAATGTGATATATCTCGAGATCCTGATCATCCGGTAACATGTGTTATCAAGGCCTTCTGGATGGTGGATATGTATTGGGGTGGTCAAAAAAATAATACTTTGCCTTGAAAATTGAGTGCGCACCATCCAAATGATAGCCAGGATGTAACAAAAACACTTTTGTAAGGCAGTAATTCTAAAAACGTTGTTTAGGGATGAGATTTAAAAAAAAATTGATTTTTCATAGTCATAGCTGGCGGACCTGAATGACACACGTGGAAAGGTCCTTAAACATATAAAAAACTACAACGAAAAGCCCTATGGGGTTGTACGCAATGGTGACGTAGGACTACGTGTTCTTATATAATACATATTATTTGTTAACTGCAGCAGGAGCTTGTGTTTTATGTAGGAATAGGAATTTGAGCGGGGTTCTCTCTGTTTATACTCTCGCGCTAGACATAGATGGCCCACAAGGACTCACGAATAGCTACTGATTCCGATCAATAGCGGTGCGGCTTCTTCCTCCTTCTATGGATGCTCATGTGGGCTCCAGCTCACTGCTTACAGGTAGCCTTTCGATGTGTACTGGAGAACAATGTTCAACGCCACGTTCCGAAAGCACTGCTGCTGCTGCTGATGCCGACAGCCGGACACCACCACACACGGTGATTGGAACTGATTCCAATCAACGGTTAAGGCCAGCATTGACAGCTAGCTGCTTGCGGGGAGCCTTTAGTTGTGTACTGGAGAATACCACCACACGGTGATTGTATAAACACCGTTTGGTGAGACCGGGTGGAATTCAATTTTGAAATCTGTGTTAGAAAAATCGCTTTTCGCAGGCAATCGGTGATAATTTTAACTTTCATAGCAACAGTTTTACATTCGTGTAATTTTCAATAGTAACATTAAAAAAAAATGATAAAGTCTTAAATTTAACATATGCGTAGATATATTTCTAATCGATTGGTGATAAACTTATTGAAATTCGTCCAGTGGCAGCTAAGTTATTACCGTTCAAAATCTTTCATAATTTTGTTACATGTTCCATTTTCGGCTTTCACAAAGTGTACACCCAAATAGAAACCACAGACGTAGTCCTACGTCAAAAAGAAAATAGTCATAGCTGAACAAATAATTCTAATGCCTCGAAATTTAGTGCAACCCCACCCTTTTTTTATTGCTTACTCATTCTTTAGGGTCCTCATGTGTTTTGGATGTGTGTGACATTCCATCATCAAAAGTGGGTATGTTATTAGTTTACATTTTTGTGTGTTTTCCGTCGATCTTGTTTTTCCGTACTGAGTACCAATGCTACCGTCGCCAGGAAGGCAGCTCCCACACTTGAACCCATCAACTCAATGATGGGTCCAAGTATGGGAGCTGCCTCGCACATGATAAAATGCTATGATAAAACAATGATTAAATAAGAATAAATCTTCCAAGCATTTAGATTGTTAGTTGGATTGCGTCATAGTGGCGTTCAAAAAATTTGCACGATTCTGAATCCCTGATTATTTTTTTTTTTTGCATTCGGAGGTTTCAAACAACTTTCCAGATCTTGGAGTTTTAAAAATTATTCGAAATTTTTATGTTAGCTTATTGATAAATCTTAAGATTTTTCATGATTCTACGCCCGTGTGAAAAATCTGGTCTAACAGTAATAAACACCTTGTGAACAAACGGGTTCTTGATATGTAAATGTCATATGTATATTTACCATGTAAATACTCCCCGGTATCTATCAGTAGATACAATTTAACAGTAGTAGCAAGAGAAAGCCAATCGCCTGCTTAGTAATAAGCTAGTTTGTGGTAAACTTCGACTAATTGGAAGAGTGAAGGCAACACAAAGCTTTAGGATATTTCTAGACCAACAATTGAAATAGGCGGAACAACCAAACGTAAACAATGGCTTTAAACACAAAATTCTCGAGAATCAAAACACTCCCACGTAAACTAACAATGCCATTTGATAAAGAAAGTTTGCTCTATCAGATGATGGTGTTAGGTTGCTTGGATGTGCTTTGATTCTTGAGGAATTTGCGTTTAAAGCCATTGTTTACGTTTGGTTGTTCCGCCTATTTCAATTGTTGGTCTAGATTTATGTGTATTTTATGTTACAAGTTTGAATGTCATGAAACGCCGTTTCCCGCCTTTGTTGAGCTTTGACTACACA